CCTTTGCCGATTTCCTGCCTACGCCACTGGCTCCCGTCCTCCACGACCTGCCTCCCCGTCGCCCTGCTTCTCTCCCTCCCCGGCCAGAAATGCCTCTTTAACCTTTCTCCGTCGAATGGCCGAATTGCCGCGGAAATACCTCGTCATACTTCACAGCCGGAAGTTCAAGGATGACGCAAGAATCAACTGAAACGAGTTACGATGAAATTTGAACCGGAACGAACGGATGGACACCTCCCTCCCCCATACGCTTGGGCGTCCAACGAGTTTCCTCTGTGAAGAATAATCCTCCATCAACTTCAAACTTCAATCACTCTTTGCACGCTACTGCGAATTCCTTACTAGAATTCCTCAATCGGTTACTCCTTGGTGATGCTTTATTTGCATTTTTTAAGGTATAAATATCCTTATTCCATTTGTCATCTTCTGCACCTAACGAACGAAAAAAAAATTAAAAAAGGGTGAGCAGCCTGGAGATGAGTGCTCTCAATTGAGTAGATAACCTTTTCCTTTTTCTACTGGCGCAGAAGTGTCTATGAGCCATTATCTGACCACACCTATGTTGTGCAGTGGTGTTCCATCGTGCTGGAAAATGACTTTCATTCCAAGTACTTGACAGCTATTTTTAAAAAAATGCCCACGTTAACAGTTTCGTTTTCTAAAAAGCATGAGGTCTAATGATGCAGTGGCGCATGACAAAGCTCCAATCGTTCATTTGGGAGTCTGAGCATTTCGTGAGCTCGGCATATGAATTTTATGAACTCCAAATGCGACATTTTCTTAATGCAAGAAAGAAAATTTGCAACAAAAAAAATCTTAAGCTCGTCCACACCAAGAAAGTTTTATTTTATTGACGATGAAAGAATACTGCAAAATAAAAATAAAAATTTTAAAGAAAATTTTCGAAGGAATCTTCCATAGCACTAAAAATCTTACATATAAAGCTTTCAGAGGCGACTTGCAAAGAAAACTTTGATGGTGTGGACGAGCCTTTAGTGGGAAATTCGAAAGAAAGAAAAAGCGTTTCATGAATATGCATTGAATGCCTCATCAGCCTAGGATGAAAACTAGAGTTAGATTAATTTTTGTGATTGCAAGTAGAAACCTATGACCCGGTATTTGTTAAGAAGTTACGAAAAACTCCAGCTTTGAATTCATTTGAATTACTTTTGCTTAAGATGTTAAAATTGAGAAGCATTTGTACAACTGAAAAGGTTCTCACCTTTCCCCATCCTTCCCCTTTCACCTGTAAAAATGAATGAAGACTCAAAAAAAAGTATAGTATACAGGGAAAAAAAGTCTAACTGAGCGGATACTATTTTTAGAATACATATTCCGAGAGTTGAACAGATATTAGCTGGTTCAAGTTGCAATTTTTGTGTAAATTGAGTTTCCGAAAATCCCATACAATGAAGATAACTATGAAGTGACTTAGGAAAGTTGGACTCCTAACAACTTTGAAAATTTGCCACCTCTTTAGGTTTGCCTAGAGTATTTTAAGATTTTCCGCGCTCGGTGAAAGAATCTCCAGGGCTTAGAGAAACAGCGGGAAAAGCTTAAATCTCTACGAGCCTAAAAGCTGAAAACCACTCTATAGTGAAAATATTTACACTAAAACTTACTGCCCCTTTATTTTCAGCACATAAGTTTCCATATAGTTTCCAAATAATAGTTTCAACTAGACGTTTTTTTCATTATCATGTCAAATATTTTCCAAATAAAATTGAAGTTTCTCCTCCGAGTTCCCTGTTACATTGTTTACCATTTTACCTCTTGTTTTTTCATTCGAAGAAAATGCTCTATGATAGATCGCAGGAAATGCCAACAATTATGCCAACATCCTATCTTGACTTTTTGCATGAAAATTGTCAGCATTAGAGACGATTGGGAAGATCATAATTCCATTTTTTTTTTAAACTCATTGACTGCCAAGGGAAATTTTCGAGAAATCTCCTCTGACGCAAAAGGCATACTGATGTTTTACTTCGATAGTTGAGAATACTGAAATTGAGGCAGCCACGCGAACTAACGTCTATATGGGAGAGCGGACACGGGTGTCCTCTGTGGTAGGAAGGAAAAGTTATGCAGCGGACACGAGTGACTTATGCAGCAGTTAACGTGTTGAACAGACATCGGAGCTGAAACCTTAGGTCTTCTCTGTGAAGACCTCGACACCACGGTGTGGTTATGACCGTCGGAAGTCGGTGAATGAGATTCAACTATCTGCAGCGGCGTCTCCCTTGCTTGGACTCCTCAGTCATGCTCGGACGAGAGAGCGCCGAGTCGAGCGTCGTAGGAATGGGTCCGTCCACGAAGCCAGTCTCGCCGATCGTGATGCATCGTAACCACGGTCGTAGATTCTGCCGGCTACTTGCAGCAAGCCGAGACAGGGATGGCTTGAGGCGACGGGGGGAGAGAGAAGTGGGTGGCGAAAGTTGCGCCATCGAGCCTGCCGACTTGCCTCCAGAATGCTCGAGTTTCAAAGTAGGCTTCAGAATGCCTTTGGCGCATTCCCGCTACTGCTCTTCTTTGAGTGGTTCGTCTACGTGTATGTTTCCAGAAAGTAAGGAATGAAGTTTAACCTCCTATTGGAGGCTATATGATGCACTACCGCTTCCTTGAACCTCGTCCTTTCTTTTTCTCATCCCTCCCCCCCAATTATACCTACATTGGTAAATATGTGATTCATGGAAGCAAACATGGTGAAATGATCAGTGAGCCTCTTTAGAATGCACCATCAGGCGGTACATGCTACACACGAAATAACACGAATAATGTGGGATGCGAGGAAAGGAGTAAACATGGAAATGCATTAAATAACGGGGACCCATGACATGTCCTCTACCTCGTTTGTCGCGCATTTGGGACTTGGTGTTCTTCCAGACTGGCCAGTTTTGTTACGTGTGACGTCTACTTTTTTTTATGGGGAATAACTCCCCACTGGGAATTCGTTCAGGCTTCATGCTGAAGCGATGGTCCTGCGAAGATGGTCAGGATCTCCCGTCTTGCGTGGGCTCGACGTCTGTTCCACAAAAAGGGATTCATGACGTCGTAAACTGCGTGAAGATAATCCATGTGAAATAAAGATGCATACCTTTCTTATTGAATTTGATTTTTCCAAAGCATTTATTATTAAAATAAATTTTAGGCGAATATTTGATTCGTGTTTACTTGATAAATAGGTTACATCCTGTAGGGCTATATTCTTCCGCTATGACGTGATGAAAATCTCAGAGTTGTAGGACGCAGTTGCGAATTTCCTTTAAAAAAATCTTCTTGTCAGAATTGCAAATTCTGGTATGCTAGCAAGAAAGTCCAGACAGATTTCGCAAATACGAGACGACTACATTTCAAGCCTACTTGCTAATAATGTTCGAGTCATTCCATCTGCTGGGGCGAAGTTCAACCTTTTTTGCCTTTTGGAGAAAGGGAAAGCATTACTATTTAGTCCTGTGAGCAGGGATATTCGCAGAAATATGGCCTGGTAGTTAAGGTGTTATGGAGGCTTACGCATGTGAGTACACTGGCATGAGTCACTCGCGTGAGAGATCGTCTCCATAGAGATCATCTCGGTGTCTAAGAGGGTACTTCCACGAAATGGTGTTCATCTGTTTTCATGTGAATGTGCATAAACCCTTGCTGTCTTTCTCCCACAAATAACTTCCGTGTAGTTTTGCTTGCATGCGCTGATGAAAAAGAATCCATCCAGAAATTGCCGCGTTCAGACGGAGAATGTAACTTCCGTGGCTTGCATTGAAAATTCCTTTATTTCTGGCCAGGTTTTTATGCATGTGTGGAACCGCCGTTACATAGGATAGTAGGAAATGAATTTCTTTCTCCCCTGTGTACGATATGGAAGCGAAAAGAATAGAAAATCGCACGCCAGGAAAATGTGCGTTTCATTCCCGTTCTATGCAATGGATAATCCATATGACAGGCATCCACAACTCTGTCAGCAGCTGGGCGACCAGGGAAGCTGGAATGTAACGCGGCAAACAGTCATGTGACGCACATCCCCTGCCGTGAGGAAGTCTACGCATAGTATGGTGCTCAGATCAGTTACGTTCGTTATTGCTTAGGAAAAATTCCACGGTCAGAGGATCTCTGCGAGAACCACGACTCGCCACTCGCCTATATTGGAACACCGTCCTTTGTGCGTCTCATTGTCTGGGCTGTAGGGGGTCGAAGATAATTTCCTGTCATCATGAGCATGGAGTAAGAATCGTGTGGGATGGACACGGAAAGACCTCAAAAGTGCAAGTGAGCCTGTGAATGCACAGGATCTGCGGATAGATTCACTCAATATTTCAACTATGCAAAAAAATTATTACCAATTTGGGGTGTTGAAAACCAGACTGACTCGGAAGTGACCGTTTCATCATACCCTGAAATCAATCATCCCTGTGCCATTGGAAATGGAACCTGTCTTCAGAGGGCATATCAATTTCATAATGTAATGACGATCCAGACCCATATGATTAGACTTGTCTCCAATTGAATATGGACATTCCCCAGTAGACAGAAGAAAAAAGTGAACTTTCTTGACTTTTGGTCTCATCAATCAAAGACATCAATATGTTTACTGATATTCTCTCATGAAACTGAGTTGATCGCGTTTTCTCCAGCTCAGTCAACTTCTGAATTTCATTTTGTCGATATGTTTAAATCACAAGATTCCAAGGGCAGATGCTGATTTTGAAACGTTGAAACATGAGCAAACAGGGATAATTATCTTTTCCTTACTCTGATGTCCTTGAATTTTGACTTCTAATGGCATAGTAAACTCGTGTGTCAGCATCGCATGATGAGAAGTTTCTCACCAAGTTTCATCGAACGCCTCCAAAAGCCATGTTGCCTTTTTATGAATCTTGCATTTAACTGTGGACAAAGGACGTAAACATCATTTGTCTTGAAGGGAATTTCCGTGCCAATATTTTCCAGAGTACATCGTGAACTTACAAAATGGTTTTTCCGAGAGCAATTTTTCAAATATAATTTCAATGGCTCGTTTGAATTCGCAAGCAATCGCATCTTCTGCTTAGAAAAAAGGATAAATATTTTTTAAATTGTTGCCTACGTCCATTTTGAAAGGCCTTCCCACTCCTGTGATATGGGAGAGGAAAGAAGTACAGAGTGACTCCTCAGGAGACGAAAAAGACAATTTATGTCAGAGCTTTTGATGTGTTCGTTTTTTTCTCTTGAGGGAGCTTGACGTCAGTGATTTTGTCCAGTAAAATATTTTTTTGCCCAATTTTAGGTTCGACGTCGTACGGGAGGCGTCGTGGGAGGTGCAAATGGTTCAACGTGGCAAAGGGCTGGGGGTTCATCACCCCGGAAGACGGCGGCCAGGACGTCTTCGTCCATCAAGTCAGTCCTTCCCCTTCTCTCATTGGCTCTCCCATGGCGGTTGCCATGGAGACACGGAGATGACTCAGCAACATCCTATCGATCTTATTGGAGCGATCCCCCCCCCCTCTCTCGATTCACAATGTGTCTCTCTTTTCCCCCCTCGCCTCTCCCCGCTTGAATTTTATTTGGATTTCACGGGGGCGTGGCCTCCCTCCCCGTCCCGGAGTTTCGACATGATTAATGTCCTGCCTCGTGGCATTATGGAATATTGTAAATAATTCCTGGGCAGGTTGGGATCGTCGATATCTTCTCGAAGATGGGATCGATTGCAATGTGTGTCGCGGGTCATACGGGCATTAACTGTTTTACTTGCCGATGCTCGACATTACATGCCAACTGACGTGTTAGGCAACTGCATACATAAAAATAGAGTTGTTATTGGAAGCAAACGCGTGACAATATTATGATATAGATAACTTAAAAGCTGCTCTGCGAGGAGTTGCTAATACTGTGAAAAAGTGAAGGAGAGCTTTCTCACGCATTATTCATTCAAAGCGGCGAACAATATATACTTGCAAGTTTATCCCAAAAACGTGAATTTATGAAATTGACGGCATCAAACTGCAAAACGTAGGCGTAAGTTGCAACACCACAATTCATTTGCATATTTGAAGACTGCAATGAAAGGGTTTGATGGAGATCCGAAGTCTGATCCTCAAGCAAACTTTTATTTTCGATGCCGCCATATTGCTTGTGTTGATGTGTTTATTTATCACCTGATTTTTCAAGCATCAAAATAATTTTGACTACGTTCATGACTGATTTACCATGGAAGCCTAAAAGCCTCTGACAGAGCAGCGTTGTCGTGGGGATTGCTATAACCGGAATCTTCCACCGCATGGTGGTCTACGGTCTAGCCCGTATGCAGGAGTGATAAAAACAACCCTTGGTCAAGTGGACCGCGATGTGACCTTTTCTTTGTTTTCATCGGCGAAAATTGTGCTCTCGTCATTCCATGTTCGCCTCTTAAATAATTTTCTAGCAAAATATAAGAAGAGCTCCCGGCTAATAATGTGCCCTAATGTTTTTGGCAGTTTTTCTGAAAATTTTCGGAGTAGGAACATCTCATCATCTAACCTGATATTTTCTGTATTTTCAAACATCCTTCAGCAGCTTCCTGAAATTGTAGGGCTTTGAGGAACGCCGAAACTATCAGGAATGGATTATCGGACAACTGAGTTCATGGAGGTCAATGGTTTGCATGAACATTGCTGATTTTCTATTGTTACCTTAGATGGATTGAATTTCTTTCAGTTATTTTGACCGCAGTAATTTTTCTTGCGTGCAAAAATGTTTGGGATTCCACGCGGAATTGAACTAATCGCACAGTCTGGGATTCGCGATAGACTTGTCGTGACCAGCAGTACCTTCCTTTGGGAGATCTTCCTTTTTAAATCTTCAGTCTCTGAACTACTCAAACTAGACAATGAATGAACCTCATTATGGGCCGCCTCCCGAATTAAATAAGAACCCTAGGTGCTTCGGGGGTAGGCTAGGGATAAAATGGGCCATGTTTCGTCCACTAAACCTAGGTCAATAGTAATATCGTCATTGGTCATTACCGGCCCAATTCTCTTGACATCACAGCCGTGATGGTCGGCCTGCTCGGTTGCAGAGAAACATCGTCCTTCTTGTCCCTTACTCATCGGAGACTGGCAATAAACAAGTAAAGGGGACTCCATGCATCGAGGTTGTGATGCATCACGACCATGTTAAATCGAAGTGGCGATTTTGTACACTTCGAATTGTATGGAGTCGGTGTTCACGCGATTAGTGTATGAAAGAATATGCGGAATCCGATGACACCCTAGTCACCTTCACTTTCCATACTTTGGCCACTCGGTCACCAGCTTTATAGGTAGCACCAGGTAACTGCGAGCGCACTTTGCCATCTTCCTTGTTCAACAAGTATAGGACCGCAAAAGGGGCCCTGATTGTTGAAACTAAACTTGAAGGAACCAAAAAATGCCAGCAAAGATTTATTTTTTAAGTCTGGCCTGCGGAATGTCGTTTCGCGTCATATTTTACCGTGCTCTTCCCATCACATTGGCCATGCCGCAATGTATCCACTTGTACCGATCCGCAATATCCATGTAGCATCAGGTTATTCCTTGCTGACGAACTGCTGCACCGGTAAATCACGATCGGGGTCGAGTAGGTCCACATAGAGCAGTGATGCACAACCCGCGGCCCGCAGAGACCTTTTTTCGGTCCCTTGGATGCCTCCGGTCCCTAAAGATCCATGTTTATATGCGGCCTATTTCTGCTCATGTTCGAGGGTCTGCGGCCCTCGATCCCCTCAAACATGAGCCGAAATCTAAATTTTGGCCCTCTACGGGGAAAAGGTTGTGCGCCACTGACATAGGGCATTCCTGTTTCGCCAAAAGGACGACATGGTGCATTATAGGCAACGTGTGATCCGAAATTCGATCCAAAATGCGAACCATCTGAAACCGGATCTCCTACAGTAGGGATTGGGACCGATCGTTATAATGGGTTGTCTCAGCTGTTCCTCCCCCCCCCCCCACACACATAATACACACCCACACGCCACGTGCTCTCCCTATATAATACCCCTTCCCCCTGTTTTGATCGATTTGCCATCCGGCTGAGGAGTCTGACTCTTGAAAAGAAAGAAAAGGCCACCCATGCATACAAGCCTGATCACCCGAATGGACTTTGCAGCAGTGAAAATTGTTCACCCTACAAAGGACGAGGGGACACGATTCAGAATGAGTTCGATAAATAGATCGCATAACATAAAAACGCGATATTAAATGAGAGTCCAAGTAAATCTTGACTCTGGACACACGGAAATGGAAAAGAAAAACTGTCTGGGGAAAAATCCAACAGAAAAATCCAAAACAAAATGTTGGCAGGCATACGAATTGTGAACTTGAAGAACGTTGAAGAACTGGGTTGGGGGGGGGGGGGCATGGTGGTGCACAGTTCCGAGAGATAGCATATGCGTCGATTGCAAGAGGAAGCAGTAGAATATTCCTTGCCATAGAGAATCAGCGAATCAATAGATAGAATCTCTAGCTCGGCTCTCCTGAATCGTAAATCTTGTCTAGAACTAGTTCATCTTGAAAGAAAGCACCGAAAGCTTAAGAGGGTGTCTCAGTGATTTCTCCCCGTCCAAATTTGTTTCACTTTCAGCCCAATTTCAGCTTATATCTGGCAAACGATCGAGGCAAAACGAAGAGAAACTTCAGCTTCAGCTTTCAGACCATTAATTAAGTTCCCATTACCTGGAGAATGCGCCTCTGCTTCGATGCGTTGCAGTGAATCATTAATTTCTTTGCAAACGGTATTTGCTACTGGCATTATTTGATATGCGAAAGTCGGCCTGCGAAGCGTTTCTTTCAAGTCTCCTATCCCTCAGGAAACAAATTGTTTCCTGAGGGATAGGAGGGATAGGATAGGACTATTAGCAAGAATGGAATAAATGCCATGCTACTAGTTAAACATATGAAACCAGTTTATATTCCGTTCAGTTAATTAACTGAAACTGAAGCGATGAGTTTTCTTTTGCTTCTAGTTTACCGGGAATGACTTAAACAGAGCAAGATTCCACTCATCCAGAGTTTCCATTGTAAGTCAGCCTTAGTACAAAACAATAGAGACTAACTGAAACTGAAGAGAAACTGGAGTGCCTGTAGACAGTATAAAGTGATATTAAGGTTAGCCAGTTATGCATTCGCTCATCACTTCTTGTCACCGACAGAAAAGATAGAGCCACATAAATGTATAGGAAGACCTGAAAGTGCTGTTGGACAGGAAAAATTCAGTGGATTAATTATTTTGGGGGGGGGGGGGGGGGACAAATCCCAGATACCGTTCTCACTTTTGTGATTAGACCTCTCATATTCGATCACGTCACATTACTTCCCCCTCCCCCTCCTAGGGACCAATAATTCCATTCGGAGTGCAGTTGCCCCCTAGTCCCCCGATAGCTGTGGGGCTGATGAAGCGGTTCTTCAAGGTAATTCTGACAAAACGCGCTTCTCACTTCATCCCGCTGCAAAACATTTAAAAAGTGGGTGTAACACGCGAACAATTTCCGCCCTGAAATCCCCTAAAGCTGGAGGAAATGGGGGGTAAAAAGCATGAAAGAGGACCCATTGTTTATTATATCCCTCTCTTCTCTGCAGGTATATCTATCACGGGGTAAAAAAGAAAAAAAAATCATCAAAAAGGGAAGACGGGCAATTGGGAGCAGCTGGGGGAGGGTTCTCTCTAATCGGATCACTCCCACTCATCCGAGAATGAGAGGGGATTTTGCACAAAAAAAAGCGTAGGAGGGAAAAAAAAAGTGTGGGGCGGGTTTGACAAATCGGCCATTAAAAAGTGGGGGTGAGGGATATTTTCCAGTCTATATTTCCGCCCTCATGAATGAATGAATGAATGGTCCGTGAATGAACCCTGTTCAACCAGGTGGGGGTGGCTTTTTCTTCTTCATTCGGATGATGATGAATCGATGTGTGGGATGAAAAGAGGCTCTTGATTCGAATCAAACTGGCTTCATTTTGAGAGGGGGGGACCCCTAATTCGTCACCGCGTTGACATTCGGGCCCTGTTTGTCCTCGCCATGGTGCACGTGCCCATTCGTGGCAGTAGTAGCACTTGTCATACGTAGTGAGGCTCCTTCTCACGGACAAACTCATCCCGTTGACTCACCCACTACCAAACACTGCTGTGAGATATTGCAATTCCGGAACTTGAAGGGAAAAACAGATTTCTGAATTACGATGAAATAAGGATGAATATAATGCACGTTGCCGCAAAAAGTCGTCATGCAAATTATGGTTTCTGGAAAAAAATATAATTGCAGTTCTCATATAACATTTGGTCTAATAGCGCATGATCAGCATAATTCTCATAATCACCCATCGGGGAACTGGTCTGACTGAAAAGATAGCATTTCCATCTTTGACCACCAGTGAAATTCGCCGGAAAAAAGAATGAAGAATGGGGAAGACTCAGTTCCCATCTATTCAAGATTTTCATTAAATCTGCAC